CCTTCACCCCATGAAAACAAATTAGTATGTGTTATGTGCATGTATCACCTCCACACAAGGAACGGAAATGTTATGAATGGCAGACATGTACAAATAAATTATAAAAATAAATTAATAAGGATAGTAGATGGAAGAGAAGAAAGGCAAGCAGTGGTGATACGAATGTGCTAAGTGTAAAGAATGGGGAGAATTATGGCCAAGAATCTAGGACTGTGCTTAGGAATTGTGACTCAAATGACAACAAAGATCACTAAGATTCCTTGCTACACTCTCAGCCCATGAGTAACTCCCTCTTCCAAGATCTGCATGACATTATTGACTTAGTTTTCAAAAAGGTTTTGAAAGCTTCCCTGGCTCTTGTAGGATCTAGGGACATACAATTAAGAGGAAAACTCAATCACACTGTTTAAATTTTGAATTTATGGACATGGGTGAACAGAGACAACAATTCCAAGATGGCCTCATTGGCTGTCTGTCAGATCACTGCTGAGAGACAAGAAATTCTCAGAGCAAACATTGTTACATGGGTAGTAGCCCTGATGGTGAACTAGGAATAATTCTGTGACTACTTTTGCAGTCTGGCTAACTAGGCAACAGAATACTTTTCATCACCTCAATCATTAAAGTACTTGACCCAATTTGGATATGATTAGATTTAAATTCTAAATATCTGACTTAAATTTTTTAAAATATCATTTTATTTAAAAAAAAGACTTCCCTGGAATATTAAGATTGCTTGTGATGTAACAAAATCAAGACACTGGCTAGGGATACAACTCAGTAGCACAGAATCTCCTTGCAAAGTGCAAGGTCCTAGATTAAATTCTCAGCACACACACACACAAAAAAAAAAAAAAAACCAGAAACACTGAAAAACAGCAAAGAACCTTATGAAATAGTACAAGCAAAAAAGACTTTATGGATCTTATCACCCAAGCCTCTTAGCTCAACATACTGAAGAAAACACAGATTTCCCAGATATTTAGTGGTGACAATAACTCTGCTTGAGCATTTACTTGAGTACTTAGAGGTCAGCACAATTTTGAACAATTAAAATACAGCATAGTCCTGAATTTTTTCCAATTTGTAATTTGATCTACATGTTGATGAAAGTAGACATCAAGACATTAAGCAAACAGAAAATGTAAAACAGAATAGCATTGCTGCAGGACATAATGAAACCAATTGCTGAAAGATGTATACTACAGAATTATAGCAGAATATTTCAGTAACACTGGTAGTTCTACAAAGTGACACAGTGAGCTAATTCACTTTACAGATTTTCTTTCCTACATAGCACATTGCTTGTGCAAATCTGCTCCCCAGGCTACTTATTTGGACACAAAATGATCTAAAAAGTACATACTATGATGAAGAAAATATGTATATGTCAAGATAATGAAAGTTAATGTTCAAATACATGTCTATTTCTACTTGTAAAAACAAGTGGTTCTTGATAACCACAAAGGTCAAATATGGACCAGTGTTGGTGAGTTTATACCTGCTTTATTGATATTAGTATTTATCTGAAGAGATTCTCCTGTGTAACACAAGGAAGTAATTGGAAGGAGAATCACAAGGGAGATCATGCTCAGAGGGTTAAATACTAATTGGCCTGAATATATACTTCATTCAATTAAGATAATAGAAAAATTTCACTTTCTAAACTTCATGAAATTCAACTCACCAGTGTGTCATGATGGCTAGGATAATGTTTCAGAAAACTCTAAAAGCCAAATACAAAATACTCTGGTGACACTCAAATCCTCATGAAACTGTGTCAAGCTTTTGAACTGAGATTTCCATGTCTTTGTATGAGAGCTATGGTGATTTTCTATTGTTCTACACTAAGCTCAGTGTAAAATGAAATGCTGTTTAAGCTACATTAGAGGAAAAGAGTAGCCAGGCACGGTGGCAACTGTAATTCCAGTCCAAGGCCAGCCTGAGCTACACAGTGAGCTCAGGACCAGCCTGAACTATGTAGTGACAATCTGTTTCACACAATGAAAGAAAGAAAGAAAGAAAGAAAGAAAGAAAGAAAGAAAGAAAGAAAGAGAGAGAGAGAGAATCCTTACACTACAATTTTCTTATGGATATAATAAATGAAATACAATTTACTGCTCTTCAAAACAGTTTCTCTCTCTTCAGAAATCTTTCCTGAAATTAAAACCAAAATGGAACTCTGTGTGTCTGTCTGAATCTACACTTGAAGGAGAGTTAATTTATAAATATTTGCCATTCACAATGACTCCATGAGACATCACTAATCCTGTTTTACTTTTAAATACACTCACACTGAGAAGTGACTTCTCAATGTTTATCCATCTAATCAAATAAAATGGAGCAATTACCAAAACTGGGCTCCATCTCAGTTCTGCATAACTACAAAGCCAAATATTTCTGTCTCAGTGTGAGGAGAGGGCTGTGCTAAGCCTGGAGGATGAAGACAGTCAGCATTTTAACATTTTGGGATAAATAAATGTCCATGAGAAAAAAAGATATAAGGATATTCTTCTTTTAGGTTTGGAGATTTCCTCATTTTCATAAATGACCATTTAGTAAATTGTATCCCATAGCTTCCCAGCTAGAGCATCAGTGAGATCAGATACTGAGAAGCAGGGCGAATAGTAGGAAAATACATTATTTGTTTCATAAAATTATCTTTGTTAAATCAGAGTAATAAAAATTGATTTATAAAATTATTAATTTTCTTACTCTGCCTGTTCTGAGGTATCTTTGCTACATTTCAGGCTATGGGACCTGAAGTGGGGACACACAGGCCAAGTGTGGGCAGCTCTCTGTCCTACCAACCTCGCAGCACCATCAACTTGTAAGCAGTCGGCTTTGCCTCTCATCTCCTAAGCTCTGTCTCATTTACTCAGTAGTTGTTTCTGGTGTTTTGTCACAGGAATGGAAAGCTGAACAACACGGTCAATACATCCAGCCAGTGTGAAAGCTGAGGCAAGTAGATCACAAATCAAAGGGTCCTGGCCCAGGCAGCTGAGTGAGATTCTGTCTCACAATAAAAATATTAGAGCTGGCATGTGGCTAAGGTACATTTACTTAGCATACAAGAACTCTGGGTTTGACACCAAACACTATGAAAGAGAGAAAGTAAGAAAGCAAGCAAGCAAGAAAATATTTATTAGCTATAAAATACAAATTATGCAAGGAGAGAATTACAATCATAGCATTAGTGTTACTATGGTGATATTTACATTCATAAAATTACTCATTATTTTTCAAGTATTTCTTATAATGCATCCATAATAATTATAATAGTGCAGGTTGATTTAAATAAAACTTCAGAAAGAACTCTATTATGAAGACTAGAAGAAGCAGGTGACACGGGGCACAAATCACCATGGCAGGGTTAGAACTTGCCTTCAGTAACAAAGGATTGAATATAGCATGTTCATATTTGAAAGATTAATAACCAGAAATGTAGTCATAATGTGAAATGAGTTAATTCCCAAAGGAAATGGTAAAATGCTAATGTTACGAAATGATGAGTAAAACGAAACAGAAATGTCTATAAACATGCAATAATATTTGGTGTTTAGAGCTATATACATGTTTATTTATTAATATCTTAGGTGAATTATCGGTAATTTCCCCTAGTGCACACATTGTGCACAAGCAGACAAAAATAATAGGAGAACACACAAAATATCTCAAATATGATTTCTCTCTGTGTGTAGTGTTGGGGATAGAATCAATGGGCTTTTCACAAAATCAAATCTCCAATTCCACTTATTTACTTTCTCATTATTTTGTTGGTGAGACAGGCCCTTGATCACTTATCTTTGCTAGATTTGAACTTTTAGTCCTCCAGCCTTACTTCCCAGAGCTCTGGGATTCCTGGAGTGTATCACCATGCTTGAGTGCGGTGATTGCTGAAGGAGTGTGGTGCTCATTGTTCACACAATGTACTGCAGGGGCTGGACATTAGTGTATAATACATTGTGCGCTTCTCAAGAAATTATGCTATGAAAACCACAAAATTCAATATAACAAAAAGACTGATAAAAACCAAAGTTACTCCTCAGTCTTTCCATTTTCAATATGAGTGGGCTGAGAGATATTTTTCCATGACTTCTGATTGTCAGCCACCATCTGAAACAGCCTGGCCACTGTGGAAGAGAAAACAAGGCCAGCAAGTGGTGTACTTTCAGAAACAATCTAGTGCTCACTGCAGAAGTAACAGGAGTGGAAGAAAATCTAATTTACAAAAAAAGATATTTCTTCCAATTTATACCAAGTGCAAAGCTGCCCCATGCATAAAAGGCAAAATAATAATAATAATAATAATAAAATATTCAAGCAATAAAGGAAAACTATAACCATATAAAATTTTGTAATTAAAATTTTATTTTAGATATTTGGCTTTTAGATATAACTTCATTTTGTCTAGGGTTGTACTACCTTTCTCATTCAACATCAGTTCTGTCCTAGTTAAAAAACTGTTGGAGCCTGAAGCTGAATACACATGCAGGGCTGTGGCATGGCTGGGGTATGACTGAAATGGGAACAAAGAGGTACCTCAGGGGGCAAGATAGGCCACAGCTGAGGACACCTGGCTGCAACACCAAGGCTGAGGACACCAAGTTGCAGGATGGAGATTGTGGCTGCAGGCATTTAACTCGTGCAGAAGGATTCACCTGGAGATTTTCTCCTAGGACAGTTCTCCTCAATTAGAATATTCTGTTGCTTAGAGGGGTCCTTGAATCCCTCTCAGAGTCCTGCATTTTTCACTCTAACCTTTTCCTTGTCTGAATAATACATAAATACGGGCTGCCCAGAGACATTCCCTGTCTTAGCTCACAGTGTCTCGAACTCTGCAGAGGGATTTGATCCTCCTGGAGCCCTAAAAATCACAGCACTTTTCTCACTTAAGCCTTCACCATACGCTTGTTTGGAAGATTGGGGATCTAGTCCATGTCCCCAATAAAAAACCATGTCAAGAAAAACATTTGAGATGAAAAGAAAAATGAGTTGTTTTAGGAAAATATTTTCTTCCTTGAAAGCTGATTGACCAAGGCTTCTTTCACCTCTTTATTTGTAAGGCTGTAAATCATAGGGTTTAACATGGGAATCACGGTGGTGTAAAATACAGCCACTGTTTTCCCTTGCTCCACGGATTCCTCTGATGGGGGCCTCAGATACATGACAAAGAGTGTCACGTAGAAAATGGTGACAGCTGTCATGTGGGAGACACAGGTGGAGAAGGCTTTGCGTCTACCTGCTGTGGAATGGATCCTCAGGATGGCACGAAAAATATAAAGGTAGGAAAGAAGAATGATGAAGAGAGAGAAGGAAAGGTTGCATCCGGCCACGACAAACATGGACATTTCCTTCTTGGAGGTGTCAGAGCAAGCCAGCTTAATGAGAGAGGGATCAGCACAGTAGAAGTGGTTGATTTCATTGGGGCCACAGAAGGCCAGGCTGTAGGTCCACATGGTCTCCATGAGGCCCGTGAGGCCCCCATACACGTAAGGCCACAGGACAAGCGCCGTGCACATGTGCCTGGACATCTTGCTGCCATAGAGCAGCGGGCGCCCGATGGCCATGTACCTGTCGAAGGCCATCACGGCCAGGAGGTACATCTCCACGTGCACCAAGGCGATGAAAAAGTAACACTGTGCCAGACAGGCAGGGTAGGAAATGGTTTTCCTGTCTGAAAGGAAAACTTCCAGCATCTTCGGGGTCACATTGGAGGAGAAGCAGAGATCCACGAGCGATAAGTGGCAGAGGAAGAAGTACATGGGTGTGTGGAGCCGGGCTGTAGCCAGGATGAGGACCACCATGCCGCTGTTTCCCACCACTGTGACCACATAAACAGCCAGGAACACCAGGAAGCAGAGGAGCTCTAATTCCCGGAGATCAGTCAGACCCAAGAAGACGAACTCTGTCACCGTGGAGAAGTTCCTCAGCATCCTAGCCTTCATCAAGAGACTAGAACTTTAGGTCTCTACACATTTTCTTTTAGATGGAGAATGTGGCATATTTTCTCAGTATTTTATTTTTCTTTCTTCTCCTATGACTCACTTTTGTCTCATGAGATACTAGAATGAGTTCTTTGATTTAAATCAGATCCAATGAATCATCAGTAAAAAACATCTAAACTGGTCCTGGAGTTCAACGACACAGACATTCACATTCTTCTCTAAATTTCCTTTTTCCACTTTTCCAATTAAATCCCTCGGTCTGTAACTATATTTCCTACCCATCTCCACTTCTATTTTCCACTTCTAATTTTTGCATTTTATTTAATTCACAGTTATTTTTATTCTTGACTTTTGCCCTTCTTTGTGCATCAACAACTGAATACTTACTACTAAACTTAATTCCTTCCAGAAAACTAGTCACAGACCTGTAACACAAGTTTATTTCCTGATAACATTTATTTCTTTCAGGCAATCTCAGATAGAATTTCTTGGTCCTTTAATGATAAAGTAAAATATACCTTAATTTCTTCATGGTTTAGATATAAAACAGAGCGTGTTTATTTTAGACCCATTAGCTGATTTGGGGGAGAAAATAGAAAAAAATATAGACTTGAAATTGGACATTACAAAGACTAAGGGAAGCCTTTCAGCAATTCCTCTAACATTATACTATAATTGGGACAATCAAGTTCTTCAGACCATCAGACCTAAGTTAGGGTATAGAAGTAAATTATTTTAACATGACAGTCAACAGTAATGAAAACTGAGATATAAAAGCAAACAAATTCTATTAATAGCATTTTTTTTCATTTCTATGTATTAAAACTTTTGGTCTATAGTTACATTTCTTACCTATCTACTCATTTATTTTGTCTATATTTTAATTTTATTTAATCTCATGCTAATTTTAATTCTGATATTTTCTTCTACACATTTTAATTCTGATATTTTCTTCTACACATTTTGAATAAGGAAATGAAAGCTCACAACTGCATGTAAATTAAGTTTCCAGATATCAAGAAGGACAGAATCCTATAAAAGAATATCCTTTCCTGATAACATTGTTTTTCCAGGTTACATCAGATTTTAAAAAATCCTTCAGTTTCTTTGCTTAAGGGTACCCACAAATAAATTTAAAATGTATATTAATTCATATTTATAAGATATAAACACAATGTGCCCTATTACACAAAGAATGGCCGCTACTGTGGGAGAAAATAAAATAAAAGGTAAACACTTGTAAAATTGCACAATTACACATCCTGTGAGAAAGCTTTCAGAAAGCCAGCATTCTTCCAGTCAATTCAGTCTACTATAAACAATCTGAAACCTTCATAGCGTGAGTCTTGAGTGTGCAAAACTGACAATTTTAGCATGGTAGATTACAACTGTGAAATCTGATCTAGATAAAGATTTGTCACTCAAACCAATTACCTGGCCTCAAACTAGGGAGAAATTTTTTCACTGAAAATTTTATTTCATTGGATCTCCAGGTTTATAACACCTCTCTGACTTCTCTTGTTTCTGTTCCCTTCTTGTTTCTTATATCCATCTTCCTGTACTTTATTGAAGCGAGTCCAAAAATTTCTTATGCTGTATTATTCTTATTCATCCACTTTTTACCAGTTCCTAATCTCAAACTCAGCTCTAACTCCACGTTTGTCTATGTACAAAGTGTTTTATTAAAGTAAAGTGAATCTGCATATAATGGTAATCATCATCTTTAAAAAGGTAGTGATCCCCTCTTACCCTTTTTCTGCTTCCTTCATATCTCTCCCTAGTCTTTGCTTTATTATATATGCAAGTCTCCTGACCCTGAATTCTGTCTCTATACAGACAGACATAATACATGTATCTAAACTTGAGTGCATGTGCAGACATACACACATGCTACAATTTAAATTGTCCTCATGTGCATGAGTGAATTTTTAAGAAAGTAGAAGAGTACCTATATCTCTGCCTCTGCCCCTACTTTGTGCACCATTCTATGTATGCTATAATATCCCCAAATCCCACTTTCCTTTAAAATTGTTTACCAGGGTATGGTAGGACTCTCAAAACTTCAACATTTGTCCTCAAGGGTTGCTAGTAACCTCAGCAGGAACGTTTGTTTCACAAAATCAGTTCAAAAACTTAAAACTTAATAGATTTGACTTAAAAATTATACCAAAGCTGGAAATTTTATATCCACAATTATAGAAAAAAACATTATAGAACTTTGTGAACATTAGGATTTCTTACCTTAAAATGTTGTTCCAGGGATTTTCCTTGAGGATTAAGTTAAAATGTATGTGGAGATCTAATAGTGTATGAAACACATATATACATGGCAGAAAAGTTTAGTTTCTTCTTCGTCTTTATTTAATCTTTAGAGCAAGTGCAAATTGTCAGGCTTTCAGCATTGGTCCTACAGGTGTAACCAACAGCACCCTTTCTGTGCAATTATTCATCTATCTATAATTACACAATCATTCCTACCAGGTAAGTGTTTGGGCTCCAGTTCCAAAAGACATCTTAGTTCCCAATGTATGCAAAAAATATAGATAACCCTTCCAAAAAGATAAAGTGAAACAACCTAAAAAGAAGGAAGATATTATGTACCTTCAAAATTAACAAGGGGAAACAAATTGCTTATGTTTATAAAGTTGACTGCTTTTCCCAATTGCATTTTTAAAAATGAAGATTACGTCTTCAGTTCCACAAGTTAAGTGTTCCCTGAAGGCAGCTCAGACACTCATTAGCATGGGAGTTAGAAATGATTTCAGTGTCACTTCTGGGTCTTCTGTGTTTCCCTGTGTAACGTCCTTCCTTCCTGTTCTCTCTGTATCACTAGGGTTCATTCTCTTTACTTAGCAGAAAGGCTGCGTTCTTAGAAAAAAAAATAGCAAATACTTCAAAATACTTCACTTGCTTGCCCAGTATGCAGGGATGGCGATTTGTATCTCCAGGAAGCACTGTAGGGATGATGCATTCATTTCAAAGCAAGAGTTTTGAGCTGCTTTTAGCCTTTGCTATTCTTGCTTCACAATGTTTTGTTTTGAGAAAGGTCCAAGAATGAAAGAAGGTAATCAGAGAATAAAGAATGCTATAAATTGACACATTTTCTTCCACTTTTTCTTTTCTTCATTGTGTAATTATGTATTCAAGTGTGGCTACAGAAGATAAGGCTGTCCACAGGCCTCTTTTAGAAGCTCTTCAAATTGATCTCTAATTTCAAGTGTGGAGCTCATTCTATTCTTTATCACATTGAGCAATGACATCAGGGGCAACCTCCCAATGTCACTATGTTTTGTTTTTTCAAAAATATTTAAATGCATTGATACTAATTACTTAACGTTTCGTGTCTTGTAAGTGGTTGATAACAGGAAGCCAGTACACACAGTATGCATCTGTTTAAGCAGTTCATTCAGTGGGGGGTGGGGAGGGCTAACAGTAGTCTTTCCACTATGGCAGATATGCTCACCAACATCTTTAAGTCTTTTTAGACCAGAAATCACAGAACTTATTCAAAAAATTCGTTGTTCATATATGGTTTCACTAGAACCACTCTGTTATCATCTCTGTTTTTCTAAGGGTTCATAAAGGAAATAAAGCCCACAGAAGCGTATGTATACATAGTGTATTATAGATAATGTATTGCGTATATGTATACTGCATATTACATATATATTGAACATAAAGTATATAGTATTATCATAGGAAATGACATGCAACAGTGAAGCCCAGAGTGCCATGGGTTATGCTGTTTGGAATTGGGAAAACAGGAAAGGCCCACGGTATAGCTCAGTCTGAATCTGAAGGCATAAAAACGAGGGCAGCCTAGTCCGGATGTGAGTGGGGAGCTGTGACAACCTGGAGCACCAACACCTAACGATAGAGGATGGATACTTCCCCGCCAGCAGGGGGAGCCGCGCTGCCTTCCTTCCGCTGCTCTCTGCTCCACAGGCTTGCTGTGTGCAAGTGCCTGCCTAGGCCTCTGAATGGGAAGTCTTGGTGGTCACTTTCCCTGCTCACACGTTCATCTCTTCCAGAGAATCATTCATAGGCACACGTAGGATTGATGTTTACCTGAGCTCTCTCATAGCAAACTTCAATGAAGTTTTTTTTTAAAGCTTTTAGTAAAGAAATAATATAAATTTTAGGTAAAATTGTAGGTTCACTAAAATAATTTATTCAAGAAAACATAGTGCACACCTACTTAATCTGTGTCTGTCCCAGTACAAGGTGAATTATAGGTGGTCTCAGCAGGCTGATACCTTTATTCCAGCTGCCTGTTAATTCAGCACAGCACTTGATGCAATTTCTTATTTATTTTAAAATGATCCTCTGGAAAGTGTATTTATCAATATCAGCCATAAATGTCAAGAGCATTTCATTCATTCATATTTACTTCTGAAAAACCCTGATGCCTTATGACTGATAATGTGTTTCTCCAGTACCACTGGTTTGTCCAAGATAAATTTTTTTACCTTTCCTGTTGTGGAGCACTTGTTCTCTTTGTCTGTTAATGTTTGTTAGGTATTTCACCTTGCAATGCTTACTGAACTTTTATTTTGTAGTGCACGAGGCTGTAAAACTCAGGCATGGATGAAGTGATTAAAAAACCAGTAGAATAAAGGGGCTGGTTTTGCAAAGCTAAATATATATGAATGGTTAAATAAAATGTATCAAAGTATGCTTTTTAGCAGGATCTAATAAGTAATTAAATATGTAAATTTCAAAAACAGCTCTGTTTATGTGCTTTAACATAATTTATGAGCAAGCTAATTTCCAAATGAAAATATTTAAATAATGATATAAAATTGAAAAAATTACATGGAGTAATGTAGAATGAGTGTATCAGAAAATGTGACCGTGTAGAAAGTATTTAGCAGAAAAATCAACTCCAGGGTAGAAAGAAAGTTTTGAAATACAATTGAGGAAAAACATGCCGATTGTGAAGAGGTGCTAATTATTCTCTGGGGCTTTTCCTTTCTGTCACATCTACATCTGTGTCCTCA